GGTATTAGGGTTTAGGGTATTAGGGTATTAGGGTTTAGGGTTCTTGGGGATCTTTGACAGAGCATCGGATCTCGCATTTATTGCATGATTCTTGTTTCTTCTGCGTTTCTGCTTCGACTTTGCATTCCTAAGTTATTAGTGGGATTACTACTCCTGTTGTATCATTACTGTCACTGTTATTGGCTTCAACTTGAAATGTGAGGCCTTATGAATTCTTCAAGCGGAACAGGGCAAAGCGCATCTCTCGGAGTCGCAGAGAACGAGCTGCCCTGCAGGCGTCCCAGCAGTGCTCCAGCAAACCAGCAGCCAGGACAGCCAGGGCGACTGACAAAAGATCCGCGCAGTATCCGCAGACTTCACGCGACCATCAGGATCCCTTCCGCAAGGTGCTGGAACAGTACAGGTGATGTTCTGAGATCTGAATCTGGGTGGTTGTCAAAATTATGGTCCCTTTTTGGGTCCTTATTATAATACGGCACCTATCTTTTAGAGTACCCCAACAGGGACCATAATTTTGACAACTACCTATCTGCTTCGCACTAGACTGTGATGCCTCCATCCCCGAGGCAGCAGAAGGTCCAGGCTGCTGGCAGTCAGCAGTTTTACAAGCAGCTTGCCCGAGAGCCATCACAGGCGCTGCTGGCGTGGGGCGCCGTTTTCCTGCCAAAAGGATGACACAAATACTTTATATATATATATATATACACACAGATACCAGCCCCTGTTTGAGGCAACATCGGCGGCCAGCCCTTACCCCTACCCGGCGGCAGCAGAAGCCAGGGAGCTTGGCTGGCGAGCCCAGCTTCTACGAGCTTGCTTGTTACACTGTAGCTCGTACAGCTCAGCAAAACTGAAGCTCATGCCTGAGGCATAAAATTGCCGCCGGACGGCAAGGGAAGTACCTCCGATGACCGGCAGCCCAACGAGTGCTTCAGATTCCAATGAAGCTTTAAGGCAGTTGAAGCGCGATCCAGTTGGCTGAGCATAATGCAGTTTCGATGCTGTATGTGTATGTTACTGCTTCAGCTCCTCCACCAGCAGCTTGTAGAGGGGCTGCTATGTACAATAGCCTCTACTGCTCGCTTGGAGTACTCTAAGAAGATGATGACCGCAGAAGCTTCCTCGAATTGGGTAAGCCCCAATCTAGACCTGACAGCTAAAGCAAGGTGGATGGGTCTAGCCAGCAAGTACTCCAGGGACGCCACTCTCGCGTTTCACTCCTGGGGTAACTCTGCAGTCTGACTGGCACGATGCCTCAACACTTCAGAAGTCTCTTCATCGCTGTGTCGGAACAGCTGCAGTAGTTCCTCCATGAACCAGCTCAGCAGGTTGACATGCTACCGAGCATACGCAGACACAGTGCAAAACTGTGTGCCCGCCAACCCGGAGCAAAATCTCCTGCAGGAGGCGAGTGCAGGTCATCGTTCGTCATGTAGAAAAACAGCACTTGCAGAAAGCTCATAAAGGCTGGTGCAGTTGTGCAGGTGATCTGGTCCAGAAGGAACGAGGAAGCATTGCGCCAGGTGGGATGCACATCTATCCACTGAGCCCAACAATCGTGCAGACAACGTTGGCAAGCTCCTTACTTCTTTCACAGGATGCGATAGCTTCAGCCGACCGGGATTCCAAGCCCGGGCCCCGATCTCCGTCCTGGGACTTTGAAGGGAATGCGCTCGGCGCAACTGTCGGGTTGTGGCATGCGGTGGCAAAGGAACCGCCCGGAACATCGTTTTCCACAGATTCTGGCTGTAGCTGTTTCTCAAGGCACAGCTGTGCCATTATGCTTAGCGTCCCAATTCGCCAAGAAGCAGAACTTGATGATCATGCTGCAACCAGCACCAGGGACGCCTGTGGCCATGAAAGAGGAAAATCTTCGAGCATGTTTGAGAACCTGTCCGAGAGTTCCTCGAGTGACTTGAGCCGCCACGGGGTCGCCTGCACGAGACTCACCATGCAGGCCGGGCCTGTATCAACCTGATGATATATGGGGCCTGAATAATTACCTATACTATTTTGGGGGTTCCTTATTATAAGAGTACTATAAAGTAGAGGAGCCCAAAACTACTTGAAGCTAGTTTCAAACGATCCAGCTACCTGTACGGCTGCAGGAATTTCTGACCGCCTACTGGCCCGTGCTCTTCGCCTTCGCGACCATGGTGCGACACCGAGACGAGCGCTGGGAAGATCGAATCTGTGCCCTGGGTTGGATCTCAGGCCCTCATGTCCGTGGTGGATTATCACGAGTGTGTGTGGCCACAACCCGAGCCGAGGAATGAGATTTTCGGCTGAGCCGGGGTTTCGAGCTCTCTTGCAGATTTCGGCTGAGGCCGCCCAAGCTGGAGCTAACTGGCATGCAAGCCGTCGGACTCCGAGTGTTCAGGATGCGTTCGTGCGATGCGTATTTTGCTTTTGAGCTTTTTTTGGGGTTGCTCTTTGGACGCCAGGCGCAGTTCATGAAAGCTCCGGTGTGGCTGTGCACTGGCTTACCAACCCTGGCCCTGGTGTCTGGGGCTCAGGCAGTCCTTGTCACCTGTGCTGGGTCGACCCCGACTCGTAAATCCTAAACCCTAAACTCCTGAACCCGAATTCCCTAAGCTCCTAAACCCTAACTTCCTAAACTCCTAAACCCTAATCCCCATCCCCTGAACCCTAATTCCCTCAACTCCTAAACCCTAATTCCCTAAACTCCCAAACTCCCCAGCCCAAATTTGCCTCGGGGGCTCAGGCCGTTCTTGGCCCGAGCCGCCTCCAAGTATGGCTTCAGCCTCAACGACCGGACCTCTCTCGTCCGCGGCTCGAAGATACTCCCTTAATATAAGGGGGATTCCGACTTTCGTAGTGGCAGGTTCCCAAATTAGGGGGTTCGATCCGTGCGCTTGGGAGCCGAGAGTGAAAGCCTCCACTTTGCAAGAAACTAGACTTATTGGGTAGTTGTCAAAATTAGGGTCCCTTTTGGGGTACCCTAAATAATAGGTGCCGTATTATAATAAGGACCCAAAAAGTGACCATAATTTTGACAACCACCCTTATGGAAAGTGCCGGCAGTGATTGCTCCAAGATGTGGTGGCACGTGAACCTGTTTTGGTTTCACACCGGCTGCGACGTCTTCAGCGGCTACTACCAGGCAGGGTGGCTCTACTTGGAGGATCATGGGACTTAGTAAGTAGGGTTATAAGTACCTTAACTGGGGTTATAAGTAATTATAAGTATAGTTACCTTAATTATAACCCTAGTTACTAAGTCCCATGATCCTCCAAGTACCAGTCTCCGTAAAGTGTGGAGCCTTCGTTTTGCTCAGGTCATGCCTGTGCTGACCGAGCTCTACACGCGAATGAGTCTGCTGCTGAGCTGGTGTGGCCAAACTATAACCTCCCAAGTACCTACTATATAGGGTTTAGGGGTTTAGGGTTTAGGGTTTAGGGTACTAGAGCCCCTAGGGCCCTATATAGTAGGTACCTGGGAGGTCAGGGAAAAGGTAGCGAGATTATCTGTTTCACTTGCGTTCACCCTGGCAGAGCATTCCTCGGACTTGACCTTGAAGGAGTCTGAAGCACCGTTGGCTTCATGAGATTTGGACATTCGATTTAGTATCTTCCGATGAAATTGATACCGTATACCTACAGCATCCTGCAGCCCCACATCCATATGACTCCACACCGTACGGTGAGGATGAATTAAGCCGTGTGGGGCCGAAGCAGAACAAACAGTAGTGTCGTGCACGGAGACTAGTACTTATGCAGACACACTGTCTCGACTGAGAGTCATGTCGTCGGCCCATCCGTGCTTCTCCTCATGTGAACCAAACAACTCCCACCGTCCATCGAGCCAAGCCCCACAGCCAGCACCGTCATGTCATCCATGCTCGCTATCCTCCCTGCGATCCACGCAGCTGCATCAGCCGCTGCAAGAAAGACAAAGTCAAGACCGCGAGCCTCAACGACCGACGCACTGACACGCGGAACAGAACAATCTGGCCCCTTGAGGAACGGATGGGACAAAAGTGACACTCTAGTAAGTACCGGGCATCCTTTCGGGAAAGAACAAGAGGATGCGTTGAAAGGCGGCGTTGCTTTGAGCAGTTGTGACTCGCAAGCACGCGTGTACCTCTTCCAGGTCCTACTCACTCCTATCCCCGCTGGCATCCGCCTGGTGCTGAGAGCTTTGCGTCGCATCTTCGGAGTTCGGGGTTGGTGCATGCGTGAGCTCCCGCACATATTCAGCCGAGAGTGGCAGGAACCGGGTACACTTTGATTGCGCCTATGCGCTGGAACTGTATGTCGAGGTCGGCCCCGCGGAGCTGTTCTTGCGATTTAGGGTTTGGGGTTTAGCTGGGTTTCGGGTTTTAGGGGGTCTGTGTCAATGTAGTCAAGTCAAAGCATCCCAGCTTGGGACGCGTCGCTGCAGGCCAGACAAAAAACCGTGGTCGTGCCACAACAGCTTGTACAGTTCTTTACCAACTTACAACCCTAAACCCTGAACCCTAAACCCTAAACCTCCACAAAAATGCCGGTGTGCGAAGGCCCCTTTCGCTGCGTGGATGATGTACCTCTTCCTGAAGCAGGACCTTGCCCAAGCTACAGTACTTGGAGGTAGCGATTCCAGGCTGTCGAACGCCAGGACCACAGGAGGTACTTGGTGGAACTCGTGGCGCTGGCGATACAGTTTGCTGGAACAGTGTTGGGACCTGAGAAATGGATCCCCCTGAGCCCTCCTATGAGGACTTATGCAAACCAGGGTAAACAGCAAACGACTTCTTCAGCATCGGGCCTGCTCAGGGTGTACTACGTTCCCGGCATCATGCGTCTGGAGCATGCCTGTTGGTGGGGCCCTGAGGATGTTGGGCTTGGTTTCGGGTTTAGGGTTTAGGGTTTAGGGTTTAGGGAAAAACCCCGCTGCGAAAGCCGTTCCGCTGAGGCTGAGCTGGGCTGACAAGGCCTGCGGTAGTGCCCAGACCCCGGAGGACCTGTGTCATGAGGGTAGTTCTCTAAATTAGGGTCCCTTTTAGGGGTCTCTTTTATGAGGGTGCCGTACTATATTGGGGGCCTAAAAGGGGACCCTAATTTAGAGAACTACCTGAGCCTATGGAGCGCAGAAGCTGCGACCTCAGCTCAGGTCTGGATGCTCTTTCCGGCTTACGTCTTCTGGCGTACGCTGACCACCTACAGGACCAAAGGGAAGATTTTGTCAACCCTAAACCCTAAACCCTGCAGAGCCACAAGCATAGGGCGGGGGGGCACCTCTCTCAAGGACCTCGGGGCCTGAAGCATCAATCGGGCAATGGAAGCCAACACCTCGTCTCGCGAGGAATGGCGACAGCAAGAAGCACACCTGAGCTCCTTATAAGCTGATGTCAAAGGGCGTCGAAGGCCCAAACATCCACAACTGGATGTTGATCCCTCATCAATTCCTGCGGTTGGTTACATCCTATTACCATACTATTCCTGTCTATTCCTGTCGTCTGTCGTAATTTTGTATCCGATTTCTGTGTTTCCCACTTGCCGCTGAAAGCGACCTGAGAGGCGTTGGGCACGCCATGGGCACAAACCGGAAGCAGTCCAACTAATCGTAATATGAGTAACAACAGTAATACTGGTAGTAAATTTTAAAAGTAGGAATAATCGAAATAATCGTACTACGAAATGTATTATTGGCATGTCAGACTGTTGGTATATTGTCTTGTTGATATATTCGGCTCATTGCATTGGTGCTTTACATTACATGTGTTGTATTTGTCATGTGGCGTACTCTCGAGGCCTCTTCCACATTTTGCTGCGGTGTTTGAAGCCTTGCCGCTTGGGCAGTGCTAGACCATGCGACTGGAAGCCGCAAAGCGTTGCGTAATAAAAAGCCCCCTGCCTGCCCATGAGTGGTTCGGCTAGACGAGACGTTGGCCCAGCGGCACCGGAGCCCGGCGGGTATTCCTGTCGTCGTCCCACAAGGAGCGCGCTCTTAGCTGAGGCATGGAGCTGAGCTTGCTGCCTCCAAGCTGCAGGCGCTTCTTGCTAGCGAGAGCCGACGAGACCGCGAGAGTCGATAGACCCTAAACTCCTAAACCCTAAATCCTAAGGTACTAGACCCCTAAACCCCTAAACCCTAAACCCTAAACCCTAAATCCCGAAACCCCAAACCCTAAGCCCTAAAACCCCTAAACCCTAAACCCCTAAACCCCAAACCCTAAACCCTAAAACCCCTAAACC